GGGGCGGCTTCAAGGAAAGGAATAGCCGAGACGAAGGTGGCGCAAAAAGCGCTGAGAAGGAGCAGGTCAATGACACACACACAAAGCAAATCAAAGCAAGAACGAAAGGATGGTAAGAGAATCAGCGAACTGAGGGGGGAAGAACGCCGGGGGGGGGGGGGGTAGCAAGTGATGTGCGCGTGACAGGCTGCACTTGGTGGCCTTTCAACTTGGTGGCCTTTCAAGTGGCCTTTGGCAACAGGGGCAATGACCGTCTTCGATCAGCGAGACGCAGTTAGAAAGTGACGGGGGAGCGCAAAGTGAACTCTGTAAAAAACACGAAAGGAACTAGAGAAAAAAGCTCCACGCGAAGAGGAGAGACGTGACAGGAGAGCGTAGGAGAGGTAGAGTCTAGCCACTCGACATCATCTATTAGAAAGCCACGGTGAACAATGCCGGCAACCGGACGATTCCACAACGACCTAACAAGACCATGCCCATGAGAGGTTCTGCAGTAGTGCAGACTGGTCTCTTGTCTCCTGGTGCCCGGTTTGGTGCCTATGCTTCAATTGTTTGGGTTCCCCACTCCCATACCGGCAATATTGCGATGGCAGTGCGGTTGGATATTCTCTCCCCGCTGTACCGTACCGCACCATCGCGGGACCCCTGCTGACCACGACACCATTCATTCCAGATACAGAACGGCGACCAACTCGTTCAACGCGCACACGCATCCGGTTTGGACACAAAAAATAAACATGGTACCTACCGGCAGGAGGTGCCTTTTCCTGGAGGGGAAAGGTTGACCTTCGCCTCCAAGCGGCCAAATGCACAACAACAAAAAACGTGGCATCTGCCGGCATGGCGTATAATTTACCCTTTTGCGCGCAATATAGACCCGTCGTAGGCGGGCAATCGTTGGCCAGGACCCGAAGAAATGTCACAAGCTCTTCCTCCTCAAGGTGGTACCCGTTTGGTGACGAAAAGGAGGCCAGGGAGGAACATCATGCTTGTGTCTCAGCTGTTATTACTTTTTTCATGACTGTTTTAACCAGTGCTCACAGCATTTCTGGCGGGTAGGAGGTATTACAGTATAGCTCCAATCCTTGGTTGGTCACACAGAAGGCTTCCTCCCTTACCAAACCCTCCTACCGTAGATGGTTGCCTTCGATCATTGAAGGTTTGGTCCCTGATTAAACATGTCTTGGGACGTCGTCGACTTGCTTGTGGCATCTCATCATCACTCCCTCTTCTCTGCCGTCGTGTCATGTCGTGCTACATACCTGTCACTCGACGAGTGTACAAGTTTATCACGCCTGCCTTCAGACCACCACACAATCTATACTTCCGATGACAGCAGGGGAGCAAAAAACTACAAACACAGTAGATAGCTTGGCAGCCAACAACGAATCACAACATCGACGACAGCAACAACAACAACCACAGCGATATCAACAACAGTAACAACAACAAACATTCCAAGCATCCTCACAAGGATGGTCAGCCCCTCCCTCCAAGATCCACGCGCTCCGCAGGTTACCGCAGGCTAAGCTAGCCCGCCTCGAACAGCTCCCTCCTGCACCCTTCCCTTCCACGCTCAGGTCGGCCTTCACCGGGACCACGCACCCCTGGCCAACACCGCCGTCCATCCTCTCTAGAAACCCCGACACCGTCTTGGCTACTTCGTTGACCGCCCCCGCCTGCTGCGCAAGAAGGGCGCTACGCTCTTGACGCGAAGAACGAGCGCTTGGCCCACCTCGAGCGGACACCTACAACATTTACGCATGCATGATGGGGCGCACAACGTTACAAGAACAACAGTGGACTAGGC